GACTCTTAATAAATACTACGATAATTTAAACAATTTTTTTAATGTTTTCTGGACAGAGATCACTGCAATTAGTTTTCATTGCTAAGTCGAGAAAAATTGCTGTGGGGAGTTTTATTAATTTTAACAGCGTAGAATCGAAGAAAAGTAGTTGTATAAAAAATGTTTATTGTATAAAAAAGCAAGAGAACGAAAGTGGACGTTTTACTGTATGATTCGGAAAATTACCTGTACTTCCTGTATCAGATTTTTTACTCAATACGTGCTCCGCTTTTAGGAAAGGAAGGGATGCCCCGGAGGTCTTTTTAAGGGAAACTGGTTCATATCCATGTTGCAACTACGGAAACACCCATGCAGCCAGCCCGTTTGTCGGGTATTCGAACTCCGCACGCGTAATGGCAGACCACACATTCATTTGATCAATGTTAAACGAATTTCGCATACTGCGCATGCCCAGAAGAGAATTTGGCGCAATTTTGAAAGAAGATAAATACGGTATATGGTTGATATTGTGTTATCTGAGCTTAAACAGATCGGGGTTTTAAAACTTATTAGGTTGTAAGTTGCTCATACTTAGAGTGTAAATATCGATTGTAAACTAAGAAAATTTTCGTTTAAGAAGGATTACAAAACAGGAAGCATTTCAAGTTACATTAGCTGAATGTTATTGATTATGCTTCTGAGGACTAAAAGCAACTGAGTATTTACCATACGTTCCATTCGTATATACTTTAAGAAATTAAAGTATAAATCCAGTTTAAATTACTGAATTAAAGTCACAGCAATTATTATAAATAACTGATATTAAATGTAATGTTTATAAATAAAATAAACCAAAATGAAATGCAACAAAGCAAATGCAATAAGCACAAATTAATTATCCTAGTATTGGAATTGTAAACAGTCGCTATGATCTACATGAAGAATAAGGTTGCTTGTGCTTAATCACCAGTACTTCCTCCCACGCCAACGGTACACCATTGAACATGCGCAGTAAGCGAAATTCGTTAACATTGATCAACTCAATGCGCGGTTTGCCATTACGCACCCTGGACCGAACTAGCAGTGTCCAGCAGCTGTTAACGCTCGGCCGCTGGTGGACTCTCTGTATCAGATTTGCATAATATTTTACGGTTAACAGAACGTTACTTAACAGCAAACGCTCAGTCGAACTAAATATAGAAATGACAACCTTAACGATATGTACAGTTAAAAAAAAGCTATTGTATTAAATACAAAATAAATACAAAACACAAAGACAAACAAATATTACTTATATGAGAATACAATGTATTTGTTCCAATCGACAGTTGTACGATAGTTCCATTCCTAGTTGCTGTTGACGCACGTGAGCTTCTGACACCAGCAACAGACAAACCAAATATAAGTAAGTTCAAGTAAGGTATATTTTTTAAATGATAAAAATTTTTTTAAACGAAAAATTGCGCAAACGGGACACTTGCAAAGGTATCATATAGCACGCAAATGGCTTTATTCAGACGAGGGCTTTACGGTCGTAAGAAGCATAAGTTGAGATTCATTGCTAGTCTACCGAACTTTATACGTCACAAAAACTGGGTTAATGGTTTTAACGCAGGACTATATCCCTGGTTTTACCCATTGTATAAGGAACGACCAACGGATGGACATTCGCTCTATGGTTTCGCTGTGTCAGCTGCACATTCCAGTACTATGCGTAAATTTAGGCATGCGCAGCATTACCGTCCCAGTTTGGTTACAGCTTGTATTCTGTCACACGCGTCTGAACGAACTTAATAATTTCTGTTCCTCAAGCCGTATAACCTTATGACCTCAAAGCCATCATTTAAACGAAGCCTAAGGGACTATTACTCAATCTTGCTTATAACATCAAAATGTGAATACAATTTCAAGACTCTGTTTTAGAAGTTCCTCATCGTAATATTCCAAGATTTCATTCTTAGAAATGAACATTTCTCATAAACATCTTTCCTGTCGAACTAATTTGAACAAGCGAAGATCTTCACCAGATGTCTGATTTAGCGTCTGGATAAACTTGACATCGCAAATAATCACAAGATCTTCACCATACTTTTATGTACACCCGATTAATGCTCGATAAGCTAGTTTAGTTTGTAAAGAAAAATGTAAGTTAATTGTTACTCTTGTTAATTGTTGTAATCTTTCGCGTTTCGAAAAAAAAAGAATAAAGTGTTTTACCTGCCTGCTACGGAACAATATACAGTGGAGTATTTTCAAACTTACGGGATCCTACCAGCAAGAAAAATTGAGTTAATAGACAAGAAAGGCGACTTTATTTGAAAATAGATAATAATGGTGATGCAGTGTGAAAAAATTATGATAAGCGATTTAAGTTTTTATAGGCTATATCAGTAACTTTTATCTCCTGTTTATCTCTATTACTAAATAATGAAGAATCTGTATTTAAGCTGTGTATGTATAATTCTTGCATTCTCCAAACATGGCGGCATCTAGAGCCGCCAAATTTTCAAGACTCATTACCTTCCACGCGAAGATGTGCATCTAGAAATCCAAAATTTGAGTTTCGAGTTTTTCTTTCATTTATTTCACATTTTATGCGGATTTAAGGAACTTTTAAATAAAAATTCAGCGATATAAATGCTTTTTATTGTCGCTCAGCAAAACATAACATACTTTTATTTCAGATTTAATTCGAATATTTAGCGATATGAAAGAAAAGTGTTGCCACTCGGCAAAGCGCAATATATTTGCCTTTGGAATTTAACCAGTATGCGATAACTCAGCGATTTAAAAGAAATGTGTTGCCACTGCCTGAATTAAAAAAAAAAAAAAATAGTTTGTCGTCTTTCAGCAAAGCGTAAGATATTTAATTTCTCTTCCAAATTTATTCCGTTATTAACTAAAAAAACTAAGTGATTTAAAATCAAGAAATGCAGTGTAACTTAATAAAGGACGTTTGTTCCTTCAAATTTCTGTCGATATGATTTACGTCAAGTTTGGTGAGATCATCGCCAACTTTCTTGATCGACGGAACTTTATAAGAGGTTAAGATGTTTTTTATCGTTAAGGCTTACGTAAATATGTAGACGTTTATATCTTAAATACATTCTTTATTCTAAAATTTTACATAATATAGATGTAGGATTTTGACATTAATGTGATTGTTTTAAAAAATTTTAGACCAGAAATTTCTTTATCCATCCATTTGTTTTTTATACTGTGAACTGCAATTTTTTATACACTCAACAATCCAGAATTTTCAAGCATTCGGCATTTTTCGAACTGGGCTATCCGTGGTTTCTAAGCAAGGGCGTGAATTTACTCCATTTTCAAGTAATAATTACTTATTTTCGTAATGATTATAAAGAGGTAATTCTGTCAATCCTTTGACGTTTCTTATAAAGAAATTATACTGCATTTGCTGCTAATTTTCGTTTCTATTTAACAAAAACAAAGCTCTTGAATTTGTACGTCATTAAGTTTACTACATAAAAAAAAAGAGAAAAATAGCGGAAATTCTTTTAAAATAATGATAATTTGCTCAGATTTCAAGAAGAATTTAAAAACAAATATGACAGCATAAACTGGGTTTTCGAACAGTCAATATTTGAAAATATCTAAACATTCCGAATAAAGACTCTACAACTACCAACGCGACAGTATTTTCGGTTCGCCATGTATTTTGAGTACCCCCTTGCCGCACAGACACTATACATTTACAAGTATCAACACCTCCTCCTAGGTATGGTAGTTAGCGTCACTAAACAGTATAATGACTGGATGGCGCATAAGTTCAACACCAGCATCGATACGGCAAGGATCGACTCAAGCGTACAGTTGACCTTTCCATAGCCGCAGACAAAGCTTATTATTAGCAACAGCGCATAATCAAGAGGATAAAATTTTAATTAAATTATCATTTTTATGGTAACTACTTTTTTAGGTTTCATTGAGATCGATACCGACTTCGGGTCGATACGCGCAGAAACTGACACCAACATGGGATCGAAACCGTTGTTTAGCGGAAAAATTCGAAAATATCAGAGAAAAAGTATTCAAAAGAAAATAATTTATTTTTAGGGTATTTGAGTAAGATGGACACTGGTACCTTGTCAATCCTGTCCCGGTTGACAGGATATCGATTCTTCTCCTTGTCAATGCTGTCTACATTCCCCGTTAGAGGAACTTGAACGAACACTATATCTTTAACCCTTTCCGGCACGCTACCTTTTCAAGTCGGAGTTTTAATTTTAAAAAAAAAGGTAGGCAGTCTACTTAGGCCTAGAAGAGTACACAAGTAAAAATTTGTGAAGATAGCACTTATCGTTTTAATTCTATGGGTGTGCCCAGAGTAGCACACTGATAGAATAGAGCTTCGAAAAAAATGCTGAAACGAGCATTGTTGTCAATGAACTGACCTATGAGATGCGGAGAAACAAGGAATACAGACTCTCATTTGTCCTAGATTATCAGTGAACCCGGTCTGGGCACACCTAGGGTTCGCCGTTTTTTTAGGCAAGGTTTCAAGGTAAAAATTTAAAACTAATATAGAATAAGGAGATTAGCATACATAGAAAAAAAACATAGAAATTTCTTTTCAAACAATTCCTTTTATACCCTAAAAATGTTCTGGAAGATTTCTTTGAGAAATGAGGGTCTTAAAAAACTAAACATGGCTAAAATATATGGACTGGTTTGTGTTGAGCTGCCATCTACTATAAATTAAGAAGGTTCAGAGTAACCTATAGTAACCTATAAATCCTTTTCCATTCAATTTTTCTGTGCGTACAGAAGGAAATTTTTAGGTGTGTCCACACCGGACACACTGTGCCGCAAAGGGTTAAAACCACAGACTGGCTTAATCGAGCATTAGGTGCATATAAGTGTATCTTAAAGAAGTGCCATCAGCTTAATATATGAAATGCTTTGTCTCATATTATAGCACTTTGTGAATCAAATAATTACTATTAAGGCTTTTCATGATGCAGAAATATTGTTAACCCTTATTAATGTACCGGCAGGTTTGGCAAAGATATCAACATGGTTGACACCAGCATACCCGATAATATCAACAACGCACTGACGGCGTTCATCTCCTGCATTGGCTCTTTTGTTGTGATTTCGATTAACCTTCCCATCTTCCTTCTCTCTGTTCTTCCTTTAGCAATTATCTATGGTTTCTTGCAGGTAAGTTAGAGATTATAAAAATGATCTAGAGTGAACATTTTAGTAATTTCAAATTTGGAATAAACTTATTAAGGTTCTCAATTCATGAAAGATTGGGTATATTTGTTCAGTAATAATCATTGACATATTATGAATGTAATGTTAAAATGAAAGCAGTCCATTTTGCTGTGTTTAAAAATACAAGAATTATACGTTTAAATAATGAACTAACACCACTACTACACTAGTTTTGCAGTGAATCTTAATTCAGAACTGCTGTTATATAATACAGATACTGCTGGATTAAAGAAAGATATTCAAATATAATACTTGATCTTTTCAGATTACTAAATAAAATTTTTTGGTGTCAAATACACTCATGTCCATAAATTAAGGATAATGCAAAATCAGGCAAAGGAAGAGTTAGAAGCAAAACAAATTTGACTTATTTGTAAAGCTTATTTATTAAACAAAAGGTAAAGAGAAAAAAAGATGCTATATGTTTGATATTATTAACAAAATTAGCGATTTTTTCTCCCTGGAGCAAATTAAAAAAAAAAAAACCTATTTACAAAAAACCAAGATTACATGGTTGGTATGATTGTTAATACATTGTATGTCTCCCAGACGATGCAATACAGTCCGTACAACGCCTAGGCATGCTGAGTATCAAATTATCGATCTAATCTTGGGGGATATTACACCACTCAAAAAGCGATGCTCTCCAAAGTTCCGGTAGACATGTAGGAGGAGGTTGACGGGCTGCAACTCGTCAGCCAAGCATGTCCCACATAGGCTCTACTGGATTCAAGTCCGGTGAGAATGCTGGCCAGTCCATACGGGTGATATCCTCCGATTGAAGGCATTCGATTACGATGTTTGCACGGTGAGGACGGGCGTTGTCATCCATAAACACAAATTGTGTGCCCATGGCGCCCCGAAACAAATGTACATGTTGTTCCAGAATGATGTTCCGATAGATTTGGCTTGTCATGGTTCCAAGTTGAACATGCAGGTGAGTTCTGGAACCCAGAATAATTCCACCCCAAACGAGCACTCCTGCACCACCGTAACGGTGTCGTTCAATGATGTTTTCTTGGTGGTAACGGGTACCTGGAGCTCTCCATATGAAAGTCCGGCGAGAATCAGACTGCAAGCTAACCCTGGACTCGTCGGAAAACATCACACAAGCCCACTGTTGCGGTGTCCACAATGCATGCTCTCTACTCCAGGCTAACCGCAGGCGACAGTGAGTTGCAGTAAGTGGAACGCATCTGACAGGTCTACGAGCATATAGACCAATCTGCCCTAAGCGTCTGTACACGGTCTGCCTTGAAATTGTCGTACCAGTGGCTGAAGAGAGCTGACGAGACAGGTCTGAGGCTGTGTTCCGCCTGTTTCTTTTGGCAGTAACTGCCAAATATCGGTCCTCATTCGGCGTTGTAACTCTGGGCCGACCTGTGCTGTAACATCTACTCACATTACCATCATCTTGGAATCGTTGCCAAAGCCTGGAGATGACACTCTGGGCAATTCCAAGTTCGTCTCATACTTCCAGTTGGATACGACCACATTCGAGACGGCCGATAATTCTACCACGTAAAAAGTCATCCAAATGCGTCCTTTGTGTCATAACTATTCGGTTATTGCACTGAAATTCTTATAAAGCGCCTGCGAACAATTTTACTTCTTTTCCTGTGTTCCTTATATATCACTCTCTTACACTATCGTCATTGTGACGTACCATCGGTGTCATCTGGTTACTTCCTGAAATTTGCATATAATTCTTGAAGATGTGTGTAATGATTTTACAGGGGATATATTTATTTTAGAATTCGATTTCCGCGTGACTCAGAATTATCCTAAATTTATGGACATGAGTGTATATACAACAGAACCCGCTTAAGAAATTTTTCCAAGGGATCCAAATAAAAGAAACTTTTAAACATGAAAACATTTTAAGTGGGAACATCTTTATTTAACATTTTAACATGCACAAAGTAGCCGGCTGATACTAAATTTATAAATTTGCTAATTCTTTAAAAATAAAATTAATTAATTTATATTAAGTTCTATTAAATTATGTATAAAACTTAATTTTTTAAGTTTAATTTCAACTAAATTATCTTAGAATTTGGTTCATTAAATTTTATTTAAATGTGAAAAATAGAGTAAAATTACCTGAATTTTTTTATGGAATTTTCCCTTACGTTTTTCTCCAGATCTTTCATTAAATAAAACTTTCATTCATAATTAAAAAGTTTATTAATTATTTTTTTAAATAACCTAGCATTTCCGAAAAGGATTTTGCATTAAAAAAAAAAAGAATGGAAATAAAAAGAGGGGAACAGAAAATGTGAATTAGTGGTCTTTTTTAGCATTTTCTAATGGATACTTTTTCCATGTTACAAATCGTAAAAGAAAAATGAAAGAAAATGGGTCAAAATTAGAAATATTTCTGAGCACCTTAAGCTATCTTACCACCTTATCTTTCTTAGGAGAATAGAAAAGGGTATATGATGAATAGGAGGCAAGGCATTACCAGTGATACAAAAAAGCTATTTCGTGGGGGGGAAAAAAAAAAAAAAAAAAAAAAAAAAACTCAGTACTCCCGTCTGTAGTTTAAACCGGAGAAATAAGTAAATTCAACAAGAATAATTTCTCTAAAAAAAAATAAATAAATAACGGTAAAAATTTGTTTTCCCGAGGGAGGAAAAGTTCGCCGTCAAATTAATATGAACTCTTCAGCAGTAAAACTTCTTAAACGGGTTTTACTGCACTTGAATATATTTTTGTTTTTCCAAACGGGGGGCGGGAAGCATCATTCCTGCAAAAGAGAAGAAATGTTAAGCTCGTTCCTCTCCTTATATTCCTGTTTAAATTGGGTTTGGGGTAATGGCGGTAGGCTGCACTGATGGCGCGACTCCATGTGGTAATTTGTGTTGGCTGCGTTTCTTGAGGTTGCGTATTACTTACTGCATAGAGAACTAAAATATATTTAATACCAGCGGAAGTCCCCCGATGCAAGTTAAATTAGATTGAGAGTAATAGTAATGTATTAAACAACAGAGTAATATATCAAACAACAGAGAACGATACCGCTGAAATCCTTTTCTAATAAAGATGTAAAAAATAACTACTCATACTCATACATTTTTCAGTCTGATGCAATATGGAACACACATAAAAAATTTCCATAGAAAAATAAGCTAATTCTCTCTCATTATATCAGCAATAATGGCATGCAGTTTTTAACGATTTTCGTCTTTCTAATCAAATGGTCGTAAAAGCTCAAGTTCCATCCAATATTTCATCTATATTCCTACGATTTGAAAGTGAGCAGTAGCAACACATTTCGAAATAAAGCATTTTTATCTCCAGCACGCGAGACTGCTGCCACTAGGAAAAATGAGTGCTAAAAGTTTCAGAGTTTCTAATTAATATCTCGGCTGATTTAAGTCGTATGAAGATGGGAATAGTCGAAATGGCTTCCACGAATTTTTAGAATCGGGAATAATGTATTTAATGTTTGGTAATGCTATTTTTATTTTATCGTAAAACTTAGAAATCTTTTATTAATAGGATTTAGAAGCGAGCAGTGGCAACAACTTTCGAAATAAAGCAGATTTTCGTCTCCAACTTGCGAGACTGCTGTCACTCGGGAAAGATGAGGGCGAAAATTATCGTTTTTCCGAGTTTTTAATTAATATCTCGGATTTTAGCTTTTTTTTTTTTTTTTTTTTTTTTTTTTTTTTTTTTTCCTTTGGAAAAAAGTGGAAGTCGACCTTTTGCAGGACCCAGAAATAATTGTAGAAAGTTTGGCGACAATAGCTATAGTAGTGACTGAGTTATTAGAGGACAAACAAATATTTTTTATATATATAGATAAATATGGGAGAAATTCTATTAACCACCTATTACAACATTGAAGATATAGACACGGTTATTGTAAGTAATGTCATTGTCCTAATTATGTGAGGATCTTGCCAGCAGCAAGAATTTCTCTAGTCGAGAATTTAAGATCATTCTAGTTCTTGCCTTGTATAAAACGACCTGCAGACTGAATTAGTCAGACCGCTTTAATTTTTCGGTTGTATTTTACGTGTTCTGATTGGTTATATTGAAATGATACAAGCAGAGCAACAGGATCATCAGTCTGTAAGAAATCAGGATCATCGGTTCTGTAAAGAAAATTCCTGAATATTTAGGAATTTTAAATGGTTTTTTTCTGCAATAGAGGACTAGATGATATTGATTTAAAATACTAATTAGAATATTGATTAAAAATTTTTTTTTATTACAGGTGGGGGAAAAAAAAAAAAAAAAAAAAAAAAAAAAAAAAAAAAAAAAAAAAAAACCTCTTCTGAATCCATTTTAAATCCATTTTACAATCCGTTTTGTTAAAATGAGTACTTTAGTCTGTCCATATCTTCGCGTGAAAATATCGTTCAAATGGATTCGAGAGCGGTCAAAAGGGATATTTTCGTTGAAATATGATACCCGGAATTTTCATGATCAGAATACTTCCTTTACTTCCGTACAAGGAAGTAAAAATGGATTATTTCGCGTTGCTGCTGTAAGTTACCGCACAATCCCGTGGTTGCAAAGTTTGGGAACCAATGGTCTTAATATTTGAATCTAAGTATTTGAGTTTTTATATTAATCACATCAGTGTATAAGAGGAGTCCTTAGATAAGTAATTTTCTTTGTTCGTTGATTTTTTCCCTTATTTCGCTTTACATATGCTCTCATTGAATTATTTTTCAGGCTCTTTATATGGCTACATCCCGACAACTTCGAAGACTACAGTCAACAACACTTTCTCCAGTACTAAGTTTCTTTTCGGAGACAGCCCAAGGATCAAGCACAATCAAGGCTTTTGGTGCTCAGTTCCAGTTCACGGAAAAACAAGACAAATTCATAGAAGATAACTATAGAGTTTTCTTCAACTACACCTTGGTAAACAGGTAGTTAATCAAACATTTTCCCTGCAAAAATAATTGACGGCAAGTCGTTTTAAGAATGTTTGAAGTAATTCTACGAGTAACAGAAGAATTTTAAAAATTCGTGCAAATGTATTGGTTTAGATTTACTTATTGCAAGCAAAACACAATAAGAAACTTTGTCCTTCACTGAGAGCAACATCGCTGTAGCCAGCGACTAATAATGAATTTAGCTGAAGACAGAAGAATTACCAAGGTACAGGTTGAGGTATTATGGTACTAAGGCACAGGTAAGGCCCTTTCATACAAAGTAATAGAATTGCCTCTTACACATAATGAATAATGAGTTACACATAATTAACATAATGAATGACATTTTTGTCTAGTACATAAAAAAATAATAAACAAAATTGAATTAAAAGAAATGTTCAAAATTAACAAAAGTCTGAAAGGTTTCAGACTTTAACGGTCGCCCAAAAAAGGTTTGTTAAGGTTTTCTACAGTTTCGTTGAGCTCTCAATCTACCAGTCTACTCTTGCACTCACTGCTGCTAACCCTTTTTTTTAAGCTTAATTATTAAGCAACGTTTTCTTCGCACTTACGCCATATACAATTCAACAGCAAATTCAGAAAGATTTTAAAAGCAGCATAGCAGCAAATGTTTAGAATTTCCGATGCAGTATAAAGTTGTTGGCATACTTTATTTTGTTTTTTTACAGTCTTTTCTCGGTTCATCATATCAATACTCAGCTTGCTTAGAAAGATCTCTTACAAAACATTTTAGCCCAAAAGGGCGATAGTCCGAATGGGCTATTGTTGCAGTGTTGTCACTTCTTGCTTTCAAATCATTGAGTTTGTTCACGAAAAATTCATTTACAAAACAGTTTTTACAAAATATGAAATAAATTATAAAGAAATATATAACATCATTTTGGGAAAATACTAAATATTTTGAGTAAAGTAAGAAACGAATATTCTTAAAAATTGCATCTACTGCTTTCGAATACTTTACTTTGTTGATCCACAACAGATAGATACAGTTTTAAAGATGATTGAATTGATTCATTTTGCCAAATTGCAACTGACTCAAATGAAAAGTGAAACGACGCATTTTTAATGATTCGACGCGAAATCCCATTTCAAGAGTAATAGCTCCTTTTTAACCAATCAAATCAAAATTCAGTGTTAATAAGAGCAGAGCGTGCCTAGATATTTTTTCGCCTGAGGCAAAGAGGTAAATTCACTCCTTTGGATAAAGCTAATAATCTATTAATAAAGCTATTGGATAAAGCTAATAAAGCTAATAAAGCTAATAAAGCTATTGGATAAAGCTAATTCATCAGAGATAATTATTTTGAATTAAAATACCTTAAAATGCTTTAAAAACTAAAATGAAAAGGTAAATGTACACTGAAGTGACAAAAGTCATGGGATAGCAATATGCAAATATACAGATGGCAGTAGTATCGCGTAGAAAATGTATAAATGCGAAGTGCTTTGGCAGGGCTTTCATTTGTGTTCAAGTTAATCATGTGAAGAGGCTTTGACGTGATTATGGCCGCACGACGAGAATTAACAGACTTTGAACGCGGAATGGTAGTTGGAGCTAGACGCATGGGTCATTCCATTTCAGATATCGTTAGGGAATTCAACATTCCGAGATCCACAGTGTCAAGAGTGTGCCAAGAGTATCTAATTTCAGGCATAACATCCCACCATGGACAGCGCAGTGGCCGACCACCTGCACTTAACGACCGAGACCGGCGACGTCTGCGTAGAGTTGTCAATGTTCACAGACAAGCAACACTGCGTCAAATAACCGCAGAAATCAATGTGGGACGTACGAGGGACGTGTCCGATAGGACAGTGCGGCGAAATTTGTCTTTCCTTGGGCTATGCCAGCAGAAGACCGACTCGAGTGCCTTTACTGACAGCACGACATCGCCTGCAGCGACTCTCGTGGGCTCGTGAGCATATCGGTTGGTCCCTAAACGAATGGAAAACCGTGGCTTGGTCAGATGAGTCACGATTTCAGTTGGTAAGAGCTGATGGTAGGGTTCGAGTGTGGCGCAGAACCCACGAAGCCATGGACCCAAGTTGTCAACAAGGCACTGTTCAAGCTGGTGGTGGTTCCATAATGGTCTGGGCTGTTTTTACATGGCATGGACTCGGTCCTCTGGTGCAACTGAACCGATCATTGACTGGAAATGGATACCTTCAGCTACTTGGAGATCACTTACAGCCATTCATGGACTTCACGTACTCAAACAACGATGGGATTTTTATGGATGACAATGCGCCATGTCACCGGGCCACAATTGTTCGCGATTGGTTAGAAGAACATTCTGGACAATTCCAGCGAATGATCTGGCCACCTAGATCGCCCGACATGAATCCCATCGAACATTTATGGGACATCATCGAGAGGTCATTTCGTGCCCAAAACCCTGCACCGTCAACACTTTCACAATTATGGACATCTGTAGAGGCAGCATGGCTCAATATTCCTGCAGGGGAATTCCAACGACTTGTTGAGTCCATGCCACGTCGAGTTGCTGCACTTCGGCGGGCAAAAGGAGGACCGACAAAATATTAGGAGGTATTCCTTGACTTTTGTCACTTCAGTGTATATTTACGGGTACCCTTTGGCAAAAATTTTCGATTTTTGGCGGTACAATGGATACCGACTTTGTGCAATTCTTTGAGTTGTTATTTTGGCTTTGTGTAGCGCCAAAAATCTCCACTACACAAAGACAAAATAACGAGAATTGCACAAACTCGGTATCCATGTACACGTTGACCTATTTTCACGTAAAAAAGCATCACAGAATTGCACAAACTAGGCATTGCGCACTCCCTTGACTTTATCCGTGTACACGTCGATCTATTTTCACTTAAAAAAACATCAGAGAATTGCACAAACTAGGCACTGCGCACTCCTTTGGCTTTGTCCATGTACAAATCGATATATTTTCACTTGCAAAATCAAAGGAGCACCCAATTCTAGGTACAAGTATATTTACGGAACATTTCAATTACCCAGGTTACTACCATAAATGAAACAAAAACTTGGCGATAAATGGAACAACTACGCGATAATACAAGGGATACCCTTGTATTATCGCGTATACAAGAGATAACCAAATAAAAATAAACTTGAATGATATTTTTAATCGTAGTTTTATATATTCAGAAAAATGATACAATGATTTATAGTTTTTGAATAAAATGATTTACAACTGAGTTTTAAATTTTAAAAAAAGTTAAAAAATACCTCTTTGATAAACCGAAAATTACACTAAACTGGCATAATAGTAAAGTTATTAACGTAATGATTACTTCAGTTGATTTATTCAGCTTTCTTTTATAATTCATTTTTCCTTGTCTTTAAGTAAGCAAACATCAATATTTTCCCCAAATTGTACTTCATTACTTAACTCACATTTTATAGAAAGAACTATCATGTTTGATAATTTTTCTTGTTGAATGAAATGAAAGATGTTGCATATTTTTTATAATTTTAAATTTGTTGAAGTTTATCTTACTACTAGCAACAGTAACTGGCAATATTAATATTTTAACGTCAGCTTTCAAATTTCGATATGGTTGAAATAAACTATATTCATCATTTTTCTTTAAAGGTCTAAACTTGCAGCTGCTTAGTGCCCAGAAATTTCGTGACTTTTAAATTTAAGTTTTTCTTTAGAAAGTGATAATTCTTTTATTATGTCTTATTTGCTTGTTTAATTCATACGGGGGTATGCCAAACATACGAAGGCTATTTGCCTAACTAAAAAAAAGCCTACATGGAGAACTTTCTAAGGGAAACTGTTTTCTACTTATGGATACACGCGAGAAAAACCAAGCAAAAAGTCATCCTTCGTCGTGATTTGAACACAAGTTAATCCTATTTTAAAAGTACAGTTTTATGGGAGTTATAAATCCTGATTGCAAGGCTTTAAACTGTTTATTCAGTTTCTTGCAGCATTAAACTTGATGAAAATAAGATACGTTATTTTTTTAATTGATTTGACTCAAGATTTTATTATTTTCAGTCTATTGAAGAATTTATAAAATGATGCATTGCATAAATTTGAAGATTTAATATCAATGTCAAGTAATAGAACTGCAAATTATATAAAATACGAAATACTTAATTTTCTGTTTTATTTTGAATAGTAAACAATTTAAGTAGTTAATAATTACACAAGCTTTCGATTTGGTTTGGGCAATTCATTGAGGCAAATTAGGCGAGGGCCTCCGTGGAGGACTTTCTATGCGAATTGGCTCGTAACGAATTAGCAGAAACAAGAAAAATTCATATAGCATACTCATTCGTCGGAGTATGAGCTTGAACTACAAGCAAACAGTTGACTTATCCAATCGTCCACTGGTAGAACAAACAAGTCTTCAGTTATTAACATCACTTTAGTTTCTATTTTAAGAAAAGTGTGAATAAAAACAAAATCTGAAATGTTTCAGATTTTAAATTACGTCCAAAGGGGCGTTTTTTAACATTGTTGTTTTACCTTCTTATTAAATAGCATGTTCCTCCACTTAAACCATAAGATCCAGTCAACAGCATATGCACTAGTTTTAAAAGAGCTATCTTAGATTTTACGAGACTCACGCTCTGGAGTAAAATGTTTTTTTGCACAACTTGCCATTGCTCGTTTGAAATCCTTGAGTTTTTAATCAAAATTGTCAAGTTTAAAAATAGGAATCGATCATAAAACAAATTTCAAATTTCAAAATTTGGTCTTCCACATGCCATATTCGTTGGAGGATTACGTTTTTCAAAATTAGACTCTATGTACCGTGTTTATCACATACGAGAAATACATACATTTATGCAGATTTTCATATTTATTTCTCAAATATATGCAGGATCTAACTTTGTGGCCAGTTGAAAGTGAACCGACATTTATGAGTCGACGCAAAATGCCAAACGAAACAAAGTCCTTCGGGATTCAAATCCCTTTGGACTAAAAATTTTATTTCATATTTTATTATAGTTACTTTAATAAAACAAAACTCATTTACTGCCGTTATTATC